TTTATGTAATGTCACTGTCATTGAAACATCATATACAGCATATACATGCTGGCTAATTATATGATCCCGCACGTGCAAAATTAATGGGCGATACTTTTCTCTTAATGCACGATAATGCGCAACCTCATCACTGCGCAGATAGTGATGAGAATATTAAAATTATACTAACATCCCACAAATGGATTGGCTACCACTCTATCGAGCGTGTCTGGGATATGCTCGGAAGGGAAATTAGAAGTTTAGTACCCGCCCCTCCGAAAATGGATGAGTTACCAAGGGCACTACTAGAGCAATATGCGGTTGTTCCTCAGGACGATATAAGCCATTTAGTGGAAATTATGCCGAGACGGATAAACGCTGTGATTGAAGCTAGGGGCGTAATACTTGGTATTAATAACAATTTTCTTATTATACGTTTTATTTCCTTCATTTATTCAGTAACTCTGTAACATTTTACTATCAGAATAAAAATTACGAAAAAATGTTAGTGTCTTCTTGAAAAGCGAATATCCCCAACAAAAATAAAGCTATTGAGATGAAATGAAAAACAAGCTATCGAGAAAATATGTACCTAGATGATAAAATTATTTTTAAATTCCTTGCTTTGTTGCTCAACGGGTATCAAGGAAGTCTTTGCTGCAGAATCTGCGATAAAGATCCTGAAACAGCGGAGCACATAATATGTCACTGCGAGGCTCTGAATCGCAAGCGACACTTTTTATATCGGACAGCTAGGCTAGAACCGGAGGAACTAGCTCCCATCGTATCGATGACCTACATAAGTTGGTGCAGGGTACAGGGACAGCAGAATGGGTGCAGAAATGGAAAGGACAAACGCAATATTTCTCACAGGTCGCAGTGTATCCGGCCGAAAACGACCCCCTTGTCATTGAAAAAGAAATACGTATTGTGTACTTTTACTCTCTAATACGCCATTTTGACCAGCATCAAATTGCGCAACTTTGACTCTATTTAACCGGCCATGTTTCTCTTCTAGGAGGTTGATGGGTGGGGCTCGAATTTGGGATACCCGGTACCTTAAGGAAATAATGAATAATTTTTAATTCAGCATTTCCGTAAACAAATTGCAATAAATCAAATATGTTTACCTTCTGTATCATATATCCTAAACCTAAATAGCTTAGTTAATAGTAATTACGCTATATTATCAAATAATTGGGTATCTGCAACGCCAGACGTAAAATCCAGTTAATTCCGGCAATACGGAGTTTCCTCTAGCACATTAAGCTCGGCTCCGGTTGAGTTCTGGAGGTCCAAACGTACTAAATCCGGCAAACGCTATATTTAATGTGGCTTTAATTTGTATATTCCAACCGAAAATAAAGAGCTGCTTGCGTTAATTCCGTGAATAAATTTGTTTTCTTAAAATTAGAAATGGCGGTTGTTGATTATTGTATATTATTTCAGCAGTTAAAAATAATCTTAAAATTTACAGAAAATATAAAATAAGATTTTCGAAATGCAAATATTTTTATGGTTAGTATAATTCAATCGCAGAAACGCACCTGTGAAGTTTTTTTCGCGATTTTTTTTGGGATTCTTTTTTAATTTTTAATTGAAAACCATAATATCTTGATAATATGGCAACATCTGTAGGCGATTAAATTTACAAGAAAGAACACCCAGAAAAGATCAAATGGTTTTCAAAATTTGGGCAAAAATACATTTTTTTGGAAATTTTTAAAGTAAAATAACTAAATATTTTGGACTTATTTAAAAAACGGTAACGAGAAAATATGTTTCTGTTATCAAGACCAGCAATGAAAATATTTACACTAATTTAAAACAAACAAGGGTGTATTTTAAGCACCACATACTAAAAAATATAAAAAAAACTATTACTCTCAAGCTTTGGGTAACTTTCTGCATTTAGTATTATATTTATGAATATAATATATGTACAAACAAAAAAAAAATATTGCACGGGAATAAATAATACACAACATAAATAGAACAACATATTTTATTAATAATAACGCTGAATTTTATACCTTAAAGTTGATTAACTAACTTCAATCTTAATTTTTTTAACCTGTAACTTTTGACATTATCTTTCTGCAGTACTAAAATCTATTATTTACCTATCGTGTGATGTGGTTCTTTTACAGCTACTCCTGTTTTTAGTACCGTATACGAAATGGTATACAAACTTTACTGAGGGTAACTTTATTGGTCCATAAAACTCTCTATTTGGACACCAAATATTAACTATAAACTGTTCTCTAGGCCTATCTACTCTTCTATAGTTCATTTTCTGTCGATTTTTCCTCCACTTAACTTCAAAAGACACAAAACACACGTAATATGACAAAGCAAAATGCAAAAACAATTCGCAAAAATCTTCTAAACGCAGGTTATTTGACATAATTTGACACAAATTTATAACCTATAATTTGGTAACACTTTGACAAGCCTCAACAATCTTAAGTCAAGTTCATACGCTTCAGTGTTCATGTATCCTTCATCGTTGCATCACTCCGATAATAATAAAATATAATCCGTCATTTTTTAAACAAACCAAAAAAAAATAGCTAAAATCAACAAGAGCCGACGCACGACGGATTTATAAATTAAACCCATCCATAGTTAAGTTAACATAAAAAATATTAGAATTTTTTTAGTGAAAAAAATAAATTGGTATGGACGTCAATTACTTTTTTTCTGTCATCGTCTCACGAAATCTTACATGAGAAAAAAAGCAGAGTATAATAACTATAATCTAAGTTAATGATATTTGTTATGCACTTGTGCATAAATTTTACATATTGAAACTAGCGTGGAATGGCCAATATCTAAAATTTCGCGTCAAATAAATTATTTAATTGTTTTGATTACCTTTTGTTATCCGGCTATTAAGCTAATTTAAACCGGCGCGGCGCCGGCCGTTATATATTTTTTGTTCATAATTTTTTTGTATGTTATTCGCCTTTTCTATTATGGTGAACCGTAGAACTAAAAAGTTATAATATTCTATTTTTTAAATAGTTTGCATATACATATTTATTAAAATAAAAGTTATAAATAATTTAATATAATTCGCATACTTTTATTGGTGTATCATTAAATATTTATATTTATATAAATATATATAAATTTTATACGTATTTTAATTTACAAAACGTTTAACAAGCATTTTTAAGAATTTTATATATATATTTTTTGTTACATAATTGTTTATCTTATTCTGAATTCAGTACAAATAGTTTTATCATTAATTTTAGTTAACTTTTTGAATAGCATAATTTTTGATGTTTATAATTTTTGTTTCTATAAATTATATTTACTTATTTAAAGGTATAAGTAATCTAAAGTTTAAAGACGGATCTTAGTTTAAAGATCGAATAAAATAGTAATTTTTGTATGTTTCTTTAATAACTTTTTATCAATATTTAAACTGGCTATTGAACTAATTTAAACAGATAGTTGAGAAACACATAATATTAAAAAGTTAAATAGTACAAAAGTTTACCTTGTGTTTATAAAAATAAGTTGAGAGTATATTATAATTTTAGGAAGCTCATAACAATTTGGTTTATATTTCAAGAATGACAGCTCCCAGCGAAAATTACTTATTACGCCACTAAATTCTATGTGAAAAACTCTATAAATAAGTTGTAAAATAACCGATGTGCAAAGGGGATAAAAAATTCAACATTTTCAAATTTGCGTTAAATTTCAAGAACTAAGAGTGAGGGATAGGATAAATTTGTGTGTAGCATCTTTAGTTTTATAAAAAAGTAGTGATATGAAAACCGGATATTTACATCTCTACAGATAAACGGGAAACTGTGTTAATTGTGTTAAACAAACGAAAACGGGACACAATGTACATTTTTAATCTCTTTTCCTTGGATTTATTCATTTTACATATACTGTTACATCAGTCTTGAATAAACCGTAAACTATTTTTTAAAGTAAAGTACGAAATAAATTGCATAGATTCTAGTCAATAAATAATATCCTAATTAAAAAATACACAGAATTAATAAAACTACATCAGTCCAAAAAATTCTATATGGGTATTTCGCCACTGCAAGAAAATCTACAAAATAAAATAGATATTTTTTTGTAAACACTTCTGCGTTAATCCCAAATGGAAACTACTTGTCAGAAGTTAGGTTTTTAGATATACATATTTGCCTAACGAACAAATAAATGCTTAATGTTTCGGAAAGTTTATCTCTTTCCGTCGTCAGAAGCAAAAAAATACAAAGAATAAAGAAAAAAAACTGTTTAAATTATTTAAATTCAACTATTAACGAGAACACTTTAGTTTTATAAAACAGATACGTCTACAAAAACCGTTGACGTTCTGTTAAAATGACATTATATCAAGTTAAACTTAACAAAATTAACAATTACTACCTGATAACAATTACTTAATAAGGTAGAACCAAAAAAACCCAAACTTTCTGTACGATTATTTTTAATTTTTACGTAGGTATGGTATGTTTAATTATGTTATGTCCTTTAAAATCAAAGAAGCGATTACCATACATTACTAACATCTACAGATGCATGAGCAATACATTTTATTTTTATTAGATTGTATTAAAAAAGCTTCTTTTATTTTTCTTTTAGAGGCTATCGCTTCTTTAATTATAATTTTGGCGTTATTAAAATTTATTCTGCTTTTTTTAAACTACATCAGGTTTAACAAAACGGTTCCGCAAGCAAAATAATCTATGAATATATTTTATCGGTATTCAAAAGATCAATTTTGACGTCACTCCAAACCCGAAGTAGAAAACACGTAAAGCAGTAGATCTGTGTAACCTGTGCTTTTTCCAGCATCTTTGTTGCGCCCGAGGCACGGTTCGAGTTTCAGGTGACGATGAGAATGACGACGTCGACACACATACACATAGCCGCGAGCGAGAGCCGTTTAAAAGAAAGGAACAACGTTGCGGAAATGCGCGCGCGCAAAGCTTACCGGGGCTCCAGCCAGTTGTGACAGCATCGTCAATAGTGAGACACTCGCGTCTCAACGGATCGAGCGAGCGCTGGACGGAGTCGAGAGCGCCCCCTCTCGATGCCAGTTGAGTGTATCTAGACTGTAAAATACCTGTTAACGTCGTTCTTGACCTGTGTCTCGCGATCGTGTCGTAAGTACCCTTTATCTTGTTCTCTAAGTAGTACACATTTTTTTCTCTTTTATTTTAGTTTTTTTTTGTAAAATATTTTTTGTTCATAATTTTTGTGTATGGTATTCGCCTTTTCTCGTAGGATGAATCTTAGAACTGAAAAGTTATATTATTAATTTCTGTTAAATAGTTTGCATATATTTATTAAAGTAAAAATTATATATACTTTTAGTTCACATACTTTTATTGGTGTATCACTGAGTCATAATATTTATATAATATGTATTTTAATTTAAAAAACCTTTAACATGTATTTTGAAGAATTTTAGATATATATTTTTTGTTACATAACCTTTTGTCTTAATCTGAACCAAGTACAAATAGTTTTATCATTAATTTAGTTAACTTTTTGAATAGCATAATTTTTTAATGTTCATAACTTTTGTGTCTCTGATTGACATTTACTAATTTGATTATAAATAAGTTAAAGTTTAGAGACGGTATAAATATAGTAATTTTTGTCTGTTTCTTTAATAACTAAGTAAAATTATAGCAATATTTTAATACAGATATTCTTATAATTTATATGCTAGGTAAAACAAATATGACTAGGTAGTAATATAAAATAAAAATTAATTTCATTTTTTCCTATGCATTAAAATATTTAAAAAGTCTTTATCCTAGGACTAGTCTAGACGGTTCTCATTTATTATTTTTTTAAATTATATTATTATACAATATATACCCGGATGTTTTTACAAAAGAAAATGCTTTTGTGTTATTGACATTTTAAGAAAACTGACTATTTGATAAACATTTTTGCTTGTTCTGAACTGGTTAATTACTAAATATGTCTCTCACTCTGTTGCGGATTCATCTCTTAAAAAAATTCTATGACATAATAATAATAATAAGTACTGGTTAATTACGTTTATACGTTTCCAAATTTCCATTTCGCTTTAAAGAAAATTAAAAAAAAATCATAAACATATAATTGAATTTCATTCCTAAAAACCAAAACGCGTTTCTATAGAAATGTAATTTCGTGTTCATTCTCTGATGGATTTTTATTGATAGAATGTTATTTAAAGTCATATATAATTTGCTGTTTTGAAATGTTAATGAAACGCACAATTTATTAAATTTAATAAATTGTGCGTTTCATTAACATGCTACGGAAAGGGTGTTAAGAAATTATCACAAAGTGTGATACTTCAACAACAGCAAAGAATATGATGTTAAACAAAATTAATATTAACCATCTATCAAATAATGAAATCGAAGTTATACTACCATAGAAACGCCTAGTAATTTTTAGATCTCACGGTACGAAAATTTGGAAAAATATAAACTAAATTAATTAATAGAACAAGCAAATATTTTTATGAAAAATGCATTTTTCTCAAAATATCAATAATAAAAGTATTTTTCTTCCTGTAAAGTAAATCTGGCAACATACTGTATATTATAATTTCAAATTATAATTTTTTTTTTTAAATACAGGGTCTTAGATACCTGCAAATATATCAAAATATATCAACATACATATATCAACTCCAGAAACACCATTATGAGTTTTTTTCACAAAAAATGTGAGTATTTGGAATTTCTCGAAAAGTTTTTGAAGTTTTTCTTAGATAATTTCTTGATAATATGGTAACATAGGGAGTAGATTAAATTTACACCAAAGAAAACCCAGAAAAGACACAAAAAAATCTCAAAAACTCAAAATTAAAAAAAAACATTTTTTTCGAAATTTTCAAAGTTTAAGAACTCAGTTATTTTGGACTTACGAGTATTTGAATAACGGTAAAGAGAAAATATGTTTCTTTTTATCGAGATCTACCAACCCTGAAAATATTGGCACTTATTTAAGACTCATCCAGTATGTTTTATTGCATCAAAAAAACTTAATTATTAATAAAGAATATCACCGAATACTTTATAATAATGGATTATTTCATGATGACAATATAAATTCTTCGAAAATGACAAATTTACGCGACCAAAAACTACTATAAAATTTAGTTTCCAATATGATGCATATTAATAGTATACAGAATTAAACTTTACCTCCGAAAATTAATTCTAAATGTACCAATACCTACTATTTGAATATATGAAGCTATTTGCTTAGTAGTTATTGAACTAATAAATTATGACCTAGTTTCCATAAAGCAAGTCATTTCTCTCTGATAGAAAATACATTCATTTTTATTGTTGACATCAGAAAATATGTTTAATAAAAACTAAACTTTTATTTATTGTTTTATTTTATAATAGGTATGGTGTAATTTTCATAAAAAAACTACACATTAATCAACAAATATTTAATTTTATTGCTTTAACTGACAGTTAAAGCAATAAAATATATTAAATAAAAAATATTTTTATTCTCTAAAAATATCGGTTTTTCATAATATTTTCATAAAAATATCTGATCAGCAAGGATACAATACCGCATAATATTTATATATGAAAAAAACGGGTTTGTCGGTTTGACCTGTGGCTCACGGTTAGCCACATACACGTATTTCTGGTTATATGACCTTACAAGTATGTTTACGTTTATCGATAGTTGTTTTCACTTGGTAAACCTTTTTTTCTCTTCGTTTTATAAATTAGTTATATTTGAATATTATATATTATATACTCTGTCCAACGAGAAGATCCTTGACAGTGATAGATGTGTCTGTCATTTTAATTTCAAAGTAGTTTATTTTATTTTACAAAGAAATAAGTTGGTACAACTGGAACGCATAGCAGGATATATTTAAAATTTGATTGACAAGATGACAAGTGATTACTTCAAAATATTGTGAAAAAAACTGTATAAAACTGAAAAAATGTAATCGAGTTATTTTATTTAATAAAAACGGTATGTGTTAATACAAAACAAACAAGAACAAGGCACTACATACCAAAAAAATATAAAAAATAACTATTATTTACTTTCAAGCTTTATGAAACTACCCGCATTTATGATTATATTTATCAATATAACTTATGTACAAATACAAATTTGTAATATTCCACAGGTATAAATAAAACAACATAGGTAAATACAACAACTATTTTATTAATAATAACACCTACCAAATTTTATACCTTAAAGGTGGATTAATTACCTTTAATCTTAATTTTTTTAAACCAGTACCTTTTGACATTATTTTTCTGCACCAGTACTAAAATCCATTATTTACCTATCGTGTGATGTCGATATTTTACAGCTACTCCAGTTTTTAGTATGTGTTTAGTTTGATCCTTATATACGAAATGCACTTATCTACGACGAAATGGTATACAAACTTTATCGATGGCAACTTCATTGGTGTATAAGACTTTCTGCCTGGGCAGCGTGTATTAACCATAAACTGTGCTCTGGGCCTACAGTTAATTTTCACTCGATTTTTCCTCCACTTGACTTCAAAAGACACAAAACACACGTAATAATACGAATCAAAATGCATCATCTTTCAAAACGCAGGGTATTTGACAAAAGTTGACACAAAATTATAACCTATAATTTGGCAAGACTTTGACAAGCGTTAAAAATGACAAAAATCTAAAGGCGAGTTCATACGCATCGGCGTCCGTTTGTCGTTCATCGTTCCGTCAAACCAATAAAATTGAAATACGATCTGTCATTTTTTAAATAAACCAATAAAACTTGTTAAAAACAACAAGACACGACGCATGACGGATTTAAATTTAAACCAATCCATAGATAACTTAAAAATTATTAGAAACTTTTTTAAGTAAAATAAATAGATTGGTATGGGACGTCATCTGCTTTTCTTCTGTCATCGTCTGTCGAAATCTTACCTGAGAAAAAAAACAGAGTATATATTTGAGTGGTAGTTTATTACCACTTCCATATAAAGGATGAATCTTAAATAAGTGTAAATATTTTCGGGGTTGGTAGATCTCGATAAAAGAAACATATTTTTTCTTTACCGTTTTTGAAATAAATAAAAAATAATCGAGTTATTTTACTTTGAAAATTTCCAAAAAAAATAGTTTTTTGCTCGGATTTTTGCTAAAATTTTGAGAACCACTGGATCCTTTCTGGATTTTCTTTCTTGTAAATTTAATCCACTACCTATTTTGCCATATTATCAACAAATTATGTTTATTAGCTAAAAACTAAAAAAAATACAAATTTTCAATTTTTTTCGAAAAAAACTCATAACAGTGTTACTAGGATCAAAATATACCATCCCTAAAAATATTTGCACCGGTTTAAAACTCACCTCGTATAGTTAGTTTTTATATAACTTAAGTTTATGTGATTGCGGGGTTAATCGAGTTGGCAATTTTATTCTCTAATTAACGTTTCATACGTACTGAAAAAATATGTGCCATCTCCCGTGGGGTGGTTCCCCACTTGAAAATATTATTTATTTCATATATCAACAAAGTCTATTGTTTCGTAGCTATGGGGGGCTAAAACCTTAATTTTTTTTCGGTTAATTCTAGTTTCCTCTCAAGTACTTTTAGCGATTGGAATGAAAGTTTGAGGGTAAAAGTTACTATAAATCTTACATATTTTAGTACTCCAAAAGTCAGAATCACCAGCTACGTGCATATGGGTTATCAATGGATTATTTATCTAAAAAAACATGTGCGCCATTGCCTTTTTTTCTGGTTAGCAAAATTCTGTAGGTCGCTTAATGCCGATTAAAAGTTGTATCTTGATATTTTGTCGATTTCGATGTCCTTCATGATATAAGCGTAATTTTATTAATCACAAGTAATAAAATTAAAATAAGATTAAAAAGTTCTTTATTTTAGGTATTTTATTATTGAATTTTATTAAAATTTATCACACTGATGTTCAAAACGAAAAAGGAGAAAAAAATAATGGTTATTTAAAATAATTACAAAATACTTATTTTCTGTATTATGTTCTATTTATGTTCATAGGAACTTTTTTTCATAATTTTAGATGGTGAATCAATGAGTATTTATTTAAGACTTTGAACATTTAATAACATTAAACATTTTAAAGTTTGCTATTA